TTTATCCAGGCCGTAACCTAAGCCCTAAAAGCCCTGCTGTAACCGGAAGTTTGATGCCTCAGGCAACAATGAATCTGTTGCCTAAGTTTTTCGCAACTGACCGCATAGAAAAAGTCTATGACATAATGCTACCAAAGTAGAAGAACGAATGTGAGACAAATATACGTAGGAGGCTTAAATTAGCTCGAAATGATAAAGGAGTATGATATCCCACACGCTAGTAACAATCGAACGCCCGAAAAATAGCGTGAAGCTGTACAGAGATCATGACCAGGTAGTCCGCAAGGTCGTAGAAGCATGAGAAGAAGAAGGTGATAACAAGGCCAAAGAAGGCTCCTAAGGCATTACACAGCACCAGAATGAGAAAAATGTCCCACATCGCCCGTTAATGCATAAGAAGATCAACTCCGTTCCCGCTTTAGATGTATGGTATGTAGAAATACAATACAATGATTGGAGATCTGAACGACCACCTATGGAAAGGAGAATAACAGCGCTGGAATCCAACTGACTGCTGCATCGGTGCAGTGAAAGTACTCAGCCTTCACGCAGGATTTCATACCCGTCGCACCTCTCGACGAGGCTTTGATAGTAATCCACCAGCACTTCAGGCTGGGGTACAATCCGCCACTCTACGCGGAATAAAAACTCTAACTCCAGAAGAGCCAACTCCGCCATGCTGATACCTCCCACGCGAGCATATGTCTTGTTAGTCCAGAAACTGTCACTGAGACCTTTACTGGCGACGGTCGCACTAGCAATAAGAAATCGGTGAATAGTCAGACTCGAGACGGTAAAGGCCGGATAGAGAGCGCAGAGCCGATCGATGTAGTATACCATGCTGAGCAAGATCGGAGGCGACAAGGTGGCGGGTTGTAAGCCGTTGAAGATAGTCTTGGACCGAAATTCGAGGTGGTGATCGAGAATGGAAACGCGTCAGGCGTCCGTTATTCAGCGGTATCTTGTCGTTGAAGCGAATCAGCTCCATCAGCATGCTAGAAATCAAAATGACGATGTCCCGCGGATCAGCCTGATCAATAAATCTCCGGCAGATATTTCACGTCACGGGCTTGGATGGCCGCAGTCGCTTTGACTGACTGCCTTCAAGGTCCAAGTCCCCAGAGCCGTCCCGCAAGCGAGGCGTCCACGCCATGATCATTCGGGCTGTTACCGTTGTTGGACCCTGTTACTGATGGGGCGGGGCATTGGAGGAGGCCAAGTCAGGCGCAGTAGCGGGGGCAGGGCCGGCGCCTCTGCCGGAGCTGGGGGGCCCACGCTGGTACTGGGAGGAGCCACCGACAGGCTCAGTATCCGTCAGACGATCCAGAGGAATGGCGGATTAAACAGGCGTAGCGACCGCAGGAATAGGAGTGGCGGACGAACACGTGCTATTTCCGCCCCAAAGGTGGTCAGCGCGGCGGACATGCGGGCCGCGAGGGAGAGTCCCCTGAGGCCCCGGAGGCGAAGCTTCAACCGTATGTCGTGTCAAGGCGATCGAAGTTCCTCATGGCCAAGCGGGAAGAACGCGGACTGTAAGTGACTACTGGACGCAGGAGGCTGACGAGCAGGCTCATAATGATGATGACGAAGATTATGGACTGCTGTTACGGCGGCGACGGCGGCTGTCGTGGATCGATGAGAAAAGGAGGAGAGGTGAGAAGGATGAGAGAAAGCGTTGGAGGAGAAGAGGACGAAGGATGGAGGGCGGACGGAGACGGCGATTGGAGACTAGCATGATTATTTCCGCCCAACGAGACCACCACGTGGGCGGAAGATTGCACGACGTGCAACGGGAGCTGGCAGACGCTGCGAAACCTTGTGCTGCTGCTGCTAGGGACGACGGCGTGCACAGACGCATCATGATTTGCAAAGATCAGACTCTTTTCAACAAAGAGACTGAAGTCTGAGGTGGAGGGTTTCTAAAAGGGCGAAGATACGTCCTTGGAAACCCAAATAATAATGATGATGGGTTAGAGTTAAAGCGAGTCGTAGAAGTTTTTAAGGAAAAGGAGGGGAACACGGGACTCGGTTTCCAAGGCAAAAAATTCTCAAACAAAAGAGTAAAAAAGCTTAAAAAATATACATAATATATATATTTATATGAAGCTCAGTCAGTTACAAAAATACGAAGACTATGGCCATCTCCCAGACACACAAACTCCTTCACACCCATCTCCAAGAAAACAAAGAATAAAGGAGTAGCCAAATTCTGCCCAATCGAAAGCAGCCTGGAGCGCCTGGGCGGAAAGATTGGAGGCACTCTTCCAGTTCTTCTGGTTACCGCTTTTACAAAAATCGCACCGTCAGCCGGTCGAATACGTATTACCAGGGGTCCCACAGTTGGGGTGGTCGGATACTTCGTAGATTGATACTTTATGGATTATTAAAGGTGTTGATGGCGCTGATTGCCGTCTTCTGACAGGCTTGACATGTCTCTGATCAGATTCTGAAGTCTTAATTAACTGCCCTGGATCTGATGTCTAGCGGTCAGGTTACCCTAACTCAGGTACCCTCTCTGGTGGGCTCTATAACAGGTAGTTTAGAGGCACTTAGACAGTTTAGACCGGACGGACCTACGACAAAGTACCTGAAGACTCCTACTATCTACTACTCAGGCAGATAATGACAGGCGTTCGTAGCTATTTGGTAGCCATGACCCTATTATGCTTCACTTGGCTTCACTTGGAGATGGGAGATAGTTTCCTAGGTCACATGGATGGCCACAATACTCTCGAGCTCCCAATCTCCGCACTCGGCGTTCAAACCATGTAATGATCACATATGATTTGATCATGGCTGAGGATGAACTCCCTAGATAAAATCTTCGAACATATCTCCATATATACCTATTGAAAGAGCAAAGATCAAGAGCAGCATTGAAAAACTACAATCTTCTCCGTATGATAATTTGGGATGACCCTACTCCGTACATAAATTACAATGGATGCTCTGACTGGCACCTGATGTAACGTAATGCAATTTTCAGGTCCACTTTGATCCACTAGGTAAAAGGTAGGGCTAAATCAGTCCACAAAGGCCTGAGTCATGTGATGCTCCCTTAGTTACCTAATATTGTTTGAATATATATTACGTCATGTGATATTAAAGTCATGTGACATCACGTGCGTGAGACCCTATTCCGCAAGCAGACGGCACTCTGGGATGCTAGAAAATACAGTAGTAGGATTGTAAAGGCACTACGTAGGTAGGTAGTAACTACATAGATAAGGCCCATGATGTAGACCAAAGGAAAGTAATAAGAGTGCTGTCAGGCTGCTGTAAGAGCTGTAAGAGTGCTGTAAGTTGGTACTGGTACCCCATATTCCGATCAGTTACTCGGACCGCCAAGCTCTCCCCGACTTCAGCGACATCAGTTTGCGAATGGTCTAGAAAGATTGTCCGTTGATGAGGGTTCACCTGTCATCGCAATTCAAGGCTCGTACATACATACTTATCCCTCTTTCCTCTGTTTCCTTTCTCTTTCTCTTTCGAAGCGAATTTATTTGTTTCAATAGACTTCTTATTGATTCGGTTCATTTCATCGCATCTGCTTTATCCTTATCAATTGGTAGCACACCGCATCAGACCCCTCCTGGACCTCCGCTCTCGGCTTCCGTCGCCTGTACTCCACATGAGCATGATATCGATCAAACATTGATTTTCAGATAGCAGCGCTCTTCGGCTTGTTGCATCGAGTCGGCCCCGTCCCATTGTCGATTGTCGCCAAAGAAGTCAAACGGATTCGTCTGGCGGCGGCGGCGCGGCGGCGGCGATCTAACCACTATGACGCGCACTTCTACACCTCCCACCCTACTCCAACTCCAAAGCGCAGACTCGGTATCATCTCAAGCTGCACTACTCGCAGCTGAAGAACGAAATAATTGGTCATGATCAGCGCAAAGAGATTTATGTCAAGCGGGGAATCATTCCGGTGCTCACCAAGGTTCTCACGTCACGGAAACTGAGCGGGAAAAGCGTTACGGCGACGGTTAAAGAATCGTCTGGTATCAAGTCGGAGGAAGACGATGCTTGTCTACAGGCGATCATCATCCTTGGTAGTTTGACTCAAGGTAATTTCCAGTGATTCGTCCCAACATCGCCAGTAGTGGTCACCATTACTGAGATCCTAAATAAATCAGGCGGCCCAGCGTTCCTTGCGCCCATCCTCGCCAGCAATACACTTCCAACCCTCCTGTCATTTCTATCGTCTCCCAGCTGCCCTTCCTTCTTCCGCCTTCCCATTCTCCGAACGCTCAATAGCATTGCAGATCGACTACCATTTGCAGAGTCAGCAGAAACTGAACAAGGATACTCGTTTGGCCGAACTGCTCTTTTCTAAGGAGCATGTGGGTGCTTGGCTCAGATCATCGGGCAAGATTATGCATCTTATCAGGCACAGGCTTCCATTGAACTGGCTGCATCGTTGATTGGGAAGTTGTGCACCGAGGAGGCTCACAAGACTGTCCTGGCTGACTCGGGGGTGTTGGATGCTCTTGCTGTCAAGTCGCCTCGTTTGTAGTCGCCCAGGGGTTCGTTCTGCCTGGCGCAGAAGAAGCATGTCCAGGAGCCGGGCGCATTGGGATTCTTGCCCCCTCCAGCACCTCCCAGTGCCAAGCTCGCCTCCAATCCTTCGTGCGGTCACGGTGATTATCGAGCACTCCAAGTGGCGAGCCGAACATTTCCTTTCGTCGCCGGGTATTGTGACTGTTTTCCCCAAGCAGTTACCCGAATTCGCGCCCTCAGACATCAAAAAGGGCCCCTGGGGGTCAACGTATTTCTCCGGTTCTGCCGTCCCCCGACATGCCGGGATTTAGCCCCCTTGAGAGTCTGCTGCCATCGGTTCCATTATCTCCCTCGACGGCACCGGCGAATGCAGCCAATTTCCCACCTTTAGGTCACCAAGGGCGCGCCGTCGCCCCAGCCACTCGTTCCCCACATCCTTCTCGCTTTTTGAGTCGACATCTTCCGACGACGATGAGAATTGCATTCGTCCCCTGGCTGCTTTACATGGTTCGCCGCGGAGAACGGCATGGTTCGCTTGATGGCAGCTCGCCTCGTCACGTCCTTTTTCCGTCTTGGCCTGGCGAAGAAACATCGCGTCTCCCTGCTTTCCTATCTGTTGATCCCGATCCTTATCCGAATGCTCGACAAAGACTATGAGATACCGGGCGATGACATTGTCGAGTACGGTGGCTTGATTCCCGCAACCGCGCGTGTTAAGGAAGGAAGCCCCTGGCAGTACTCGCAGCTCTGGTGATTGACGATCAGGAATTGCAAAAACACGCCGTCGATTGGTGCGCGATTAAGCGATTATCGCCAATTACTGGAAAGAGACCTACAATCCGATTCACGAGAATACCAAGCCCAATTGTGGCACCCAGACGCCGACGAATCTGCTCCAAAATTCCGATACGCAGCCACTAGAATGTTAGACTTGGACCACCCGGGTTTCTCGCCAACTCATTGTCATGTCATGCGATATCGGGAGAATTATTTTGAAGGCACTTGCAGCTCTTGTTCCTTTCAGGATGAATATCGTAAGCTCGTGTGTGAGAATGGAGTGGTGCCATACATCATCGACTCTCTCAAGCCTTGCCCTAGCGAGCTGCCAGTGGACCCGTCGACTCTCAAGGAACACTGCCACGGATGGCAATCCCACTCCGACTCTCTTGGCCGCTTTGTGGTGCTGCGCGAATGCTTACTCGCTCTCGTGAAGCGTCTTTGAGGAACAGTTCTGATCGATGCTGGTGTGCAGCTCCTCTTTTTGTTCTGATCCGTCATCCTGATATCGAAGTCCAAATTGCTGCGACGTCTGTAATCTGCAACCTGGCATTGGGATTCAGTCCCATGAAAGAGGTCAGTTCTTTATCCCCTTTAGGGCTGACACTAGATTTCGACTTGGCAACTGACCCAAGTAGGCAATTATCGTCAGCGGATATTCTCCCGGTCCTATGCGAGCACGCGCACCGTCTCGCCGAACACAAAACTGTCGTATCGAGTCATTGTGGGCACTGAAACATGTGTCCTTATAATTCTGCCAACGATGTTAAGATCAAAGATTATTGGACGGCCTTGGGCCTGGGTGGATCAAGCAGATTATTACGCAGGACCCTACAAGTGCCCTTGCGAAACGGGGAATTGGAAGGCGACGTGGACAGTAGTGCGGCGGCGGGTATGAGCGAGCCAATTCGGCCGGGGAACAAGTCAACCTTTTGAATCCGGTTGAGGATTCGCAAAGCCGGGGCGAAGATCTCAAAATGACGGACACTCTGCCTGCGTCCAAGATGAGCCTGGAGATGTTTCTGCCGGATGCGACCAGGCGGCGAAAGCTCGTGTTGAATGGAGATTTGGACCAGACCACACAGGCTCCGACAGGATGATATCGCGGTGCAGGAGCAGACTTTCGACTTGCTGCGTAATCTTGTATGTGGGTCAGGAGCATCGGAGATGATTGACCACCTCTTCAAGGAGATTGGGCAGGACCTCATCCTCGACGCGCTGGCGGACAAGCTTCGACCTCCGCACCATCAATCTCCCACACCGTCGGGAGTCCTCAGCAAGCCGTGCACTCAACGTTCCCACCGAGATCCTCGTCTCGGTCACATTTGTCATTATCCATCTTGCCGCGAGCCTTCCATGGCATCGACAAGTCCTGGTGTCGCACCCAACCCTTCTGCAACATCTCATGTGGTACTTTAACCACAGCCACCGAGACGTGCGTATCAACTGTGTCTGGGTTAGTCATCAATCTGACATACGAAGACGACGCGAGCGACCACGATGGCTGTCGCGAGCGAGCCTTCAAGCTACGGTCCCTTGGGGTAATAGAGCGGTTGACAAGCCTCCTTGATGACCCTGACCTTGACGTGCGAGAACGCACAAAAACGGAGCAGAGCATTTGATCAGTTCTTTGACGCAATCATAGCGATTGTGTATTACTTGACTGTTTCGTTGCTACTGGTTTGCTGTAGCATGGGCATTACCAGGAGACTGGATACAGTGTCCTTGACATGGGTGGGTGTTGGAACGTTTGTATAAAATGCATCATCTACAAAATGTATTGTCCTCAACGCAGCTGTTTGACTTGAATATAATATGAAGTTATCACATATACCTCAGTCCTCTGTGCTTTCTAATAATGATGCTTGCGTGGCTTATCTTATCGGTCTGCGGTGGGGATTCAATGATCCAACGACGTCATATCACCAGTTGGCTGCGGTCTAAATAAAACCCCAGGAAGCCCATGTTCACTCCCTAAAAGCTCTCTGCTTTACTCAGATAAAAACAGTCTCATAATATGGCACCAGTACTGCATCATTCTGCGTGCACTCTCCCTCCCGGATGCCTCGAAGGCCAGCCTCTCAACCGCAAACCTAGGCTCCGGCTTCACCAGCACGGGGTAATTCGAGCCACCGTCCCCACCGCAGACGGGGCAGGCGAGAAAAGACGCCGGTACTTCGTCAAGACGTCCGCAGACGGCCAAGCCGCAGAGGAGATGTTCCGCGGCGAGTACGAGTCTCTCAATGCCATCGCCGACTCAGTGCCTGGGTTCTGCCCTCGAGCACTAGCGTGGGGACCGCTGGAAGCGCAAGACAGCAAGGGCAAGAGCAAGGGCTTCTTTCTCGCGACCGAGTTCCTCGAATTAGGCGCTGGTGCCAGCGCCGGTGGCCGGCGGACAGGCGAGTCCCTCGCGCAGCGGTTGGGCAAGTTGCACTCTACGCCTGCGCCCGCGATCCCGAGACGGCAGGCGCGGTTCGGGTCCCCGTAGCGACGTTCTGCGGGACACGAAGCAGCCGAATCGATGGCGGGATTCATGGGCGGAGTTCTACGCGCAGGAGCGGCTGCTGACGGTGTTGGAGACGTCGGAGAAGCGGAATGGGAAGGATGCGGGCTTGCGGGAGATGGTGGAGCGGACGGTGGGCCAGTGTTGTGCCGGCGTTTGCTGGGGGATGGACATCTGGGGTATGATCGGGAGGGGAAGGGGAGGGGATCACGCCGGTGGTGGTGCATGGGATCTGTGGAGTGGAATGCGGACCGGGGGCGGATGTGGGCAGTGGGCGTAAGGAGGACGAGGGGTGGCGAGGTGGTGTATGATCCGTCGGCGTGCTATGCGCACAGCGAGTATGAGCTGGGGATCATGAAGATGTTTGGGGGGGTTTGGGTCGGCGTTCTTCGAGGCGTATCATCGCATCGTGCCCAAGACCCGAGCCGGTGGAGGAGTATGAGGACCGCGTGAGGTCTGTACGAGCTGTAAGAGTGCCTTGATTTGCATTGTTGGAGCTTTGGCTGACTTTGAAGGTATCATCACCTGAACCACCAATGCCATCTTTGGGGCTGGATATCGATCGGGTGGCGGTATCGATTATGCAGAAGCTGCTTAAGAAATACGGCGATAGTTGAGCGTTTGTCTCTATTACTTCTAGATTCTCGATGTATATATAGAGTAGAATTATCTGATAAGATTCATGATTTATCCATCAAGCATCTTAGACCTATCAATTTACCCGGCTTAATTATCTGCGAGGGCTTGATCTACTAATATTGGCCACTTATAAGATTTCACCTTTTGCAACGACGAATAGGACAAAATCTGGAGTAAATCTTGATATGCAACAGAATCTCGTTATGGCATCATATCTGAGTCAGCAGATCTCCATCAAGGAATCAACGAAATATAAAGCCTAACGCCGTCCCCTGTCCCCAAACCCTGCTACACGACTTCTGATTGATCTGGAAATACTAGGCGCTAGAAGTTCCTAAAACAGCTACGATGCCTTCCGTTCCAGACGCCGAGCTCTATCCCGAAGCCAGTGGACCAGCAAAAGCGCTGGTCGACAGGCATCAGGCGGAGCAGCCTTTGAAGCTCTATGCGGGTGGTTTTGTCCGTAAGTCTTTAAACCTTTTTATTTGCACTGTACAGAGCTGATCATCAGCAGGTTTGGTACGTACAAGCGTAAAAATAAGTGACTTTTAAACTGCCAGCTAACCTTTGCAGTCCAACGTGTCTGGCTTGCTCTGGAAGAGAAGCAGATCCCTTACCAATACATCGAGGTCAATCCCTATCACAAGCCACAATCACTTTTGTCCCTGAACCCGCGGGGTTAGTCCCCACTCTCGCTTGTCCCACGGGACAAGGTGACGGAAATGGCGTCAAGCTCAAGCCACTCTACGAGTCGAACATCATCCTGGAGTACCTCGAAGAAGCTTATCCCGACCATCAGCCGCGTCTGCTTCCTACAGACCCCTACGAGAAAGCCCGCGCGAAAATCTGGATGGATTTTGTAACGACCCGGGTGATCCCGCGTTCCATCGCTTCCTGCAGTACCAGCCTCAGTCCCAGGACGAGGACGTGGCTGCTGAGACTGACAAGGTCCGCCAGGAGTTTCTGGACCGTTTGAAGGAGTGGACCAGGGAGATGCATCAAGAGGGCCATTTTTCTTAGGGGATCAGATCTCACTGCCTGATCTTGTGCTGGGCCGTGGGCCGTGCGGCTCTGGGTGTTTGATGAGTTCAAGACAGGCGGTCTTGGGATTCCTGCTGAGAGTCAGGGGAGAGCAGATGAAGCTGTCTGGCAGCGATGGAGGACATGGCTCCGTGCTGTAGAAGGCAGACGGAGTATAAGGGAGACAACTAGTGAGAAGGATCATTACCTCCCCATCTATCAACGCTACGCGGACAATACTGCCCAGAGTGAGTTGGCAAAGGCCCACAAGAGCTGGAAGGGGAGTGCCATGATTCCAACCACTTGTGTATATACTTTATATGAATTCCCAACAGTTCAGATGACACAAATGCTCTCATATGTTCTCAGCAAGAAATTAGAAACAGATACCAGGATCCATCGGATCATAATATAGTCTCGTCAATCGTACCAGTTATTTGAATATGCAAACAAATGCGGAATGAACATGTGACCCATATCACGTGACAATCCGCCAATCATGCGCAGCCAAAGATTCAATCGCATCCATTGCGCATCATCCTAGGTCCCGGTACATTTACCTATTTTTTACATTCTCTAACCCTGGCAAGACAAGAAGATTCTTCCGCCAGCAGCACAGGATGGCTTCGGAGAAGAAGGATGACCCGACACAGCCGGCTGGAACAGACCCGTCTCTGCCGGAACCCCCTGCCATCCATCCGTCCTTCATCCAGGTAGCCAAGCCTTATATCTTTGAACAGACAATTCAGAAATGCATCGCGGCCATGGGAGTCAATCCTCTGCGCGAGGAAGCTCTGCGCTTGCAGGGGGTGACATGGATCGACAACGTGCGCCGAGCGCTCTATCTGTACGTCTGAATGTTTGAATTATTGAACACCACTGAGCAAGAATCCTTGCTGACTCGACAGGCCTATTCGCACCTTCAACACTGCTGTGGTCTATTATCATAGATTTCGCCTTATCCACCCCGACACAGAGTACAATTATATGGTAGTCACACCATGCGTTATTCTGCATTGTAACTAAGCTGACTTGACTGCTCAGGATGCCGCTGCGGCTGCTCTATTCACGGCATGCAAGATTGAGGACACCCTTAAGAAGTCCCGGGAGATTGTATGCGCTGCGTACAACCTGAAGCTCCCTCCATCAGAGCACATGTCTCCTGACAACCCCGTGAGTTCCCGTCATCTCTCTGGCAACCAGGACCGACTGACATAGTTCTCATAAGGTTTTCGAAGCGCATGCTCGAGGTATCATCGGCCTCGAGAGGCTCATGCTTGAAGCGTCTGGCTTCGACTTCCGGACCCGTCACCCACAGAAGACTTTGATCAAACTAGCCAGACACTATGGCTTGTCGCCGCAATCCGAGGTCTCCAATCTCGCCTACCGCATCTCGCAGGATCTGTATCGAACCTTTGCCCCCATCAAGCAGACCACCTCCACCATGGCCTTTTGCTGTCTCGAACTCGCGGGCCGCCTGCTGGATCAGCGTCTGGAGCCCGTGGAGCAGGGGTCAGATTACGAGCAATGGCGAACGAGCCGCGAAGAAGTAATGGGTGGGTCTCCTGCCTTTTCTCAAAGTCCACAGAACAACCAACGTACTAACAAAGACCAAACTCTCTTTGACCTGCTCGAGTTATACACACACAACCGCAGCTCGACCACCGTCGGCCACACTTCCCACTCTGATCGATTCCTCACAGTCCGCATTCCCCTGAACAAAGAAGCAGAGCCCAGAAATTACGTCGGTACACGCACTGGTTCGAAGACAGCAGAGATTCCAAGCGCTACCAATTGGCGGGAGGACGGCAGGGATCGCCACGCGCCAAAAGATAGAGATGATATGAGGAGAGAGAGGAGACAGAGCAGCCGCGCCCGCGGTGCACCCACTCTACCCCCTGTCGCTGCCAACGGGGAGAGACCCAAGCCGGGAACGCGGTCGGGACGGGGCTGTGGCGCTTCATGCTTGATTCGGAGCGCGCAGAGGCGAGAAGCGCGCGTCGCCGAGTACTTCAAAGATCGAAATGGGAGGAGTACGAGTGTGGAGGATATTGAATTGTCTTTGGACAGGAAATCACGAGCCACACTACATAAGCGACTATACCCGCGTACTGTTGGGCGCCCCTCGCAGGGGATCGACAGCTGGTTCGAGCCTTCTGGCAGCTGTACCGGTACTCTGGCCGATGGATCTGTTAGCCCGCCTGCCGCAAGATTCATGATTCCAGCGGAGCACAGCACGCTTGGTGTGAGAGCTTAACAGGACGCGGATATAGCTGCGCTCTGAATGCATAGCGTCATTTGAGCGACGAGCCGGGCGCCGCTGTTGAGACCCCAGTGTCGAGGACCACCCAGATACTTCTTGACGATGTGTCCGACGGAACCTCGCAAGTGGAAGAGGCTACGTCATATCACAATACAATCGCTACAGAATAATAGCTACCTTGCACATTCTGTTGCATTACATGTCAAACGACAAATCTTTTTTAGGTAGATAAGTACCTAAAACACTCACGAAAGCTATATATGATGGGACTTCACACAGTGCATCGAGCGCTTACCCAATCCACCTCCAGGCGGAGCTAAGAGGATGTAAAGCAAAAAAATAAATCCAGGCTGACCAACATGTCTTTGAGTCAGGCACCCCGACCGTCCTTTCCTAACTTGTATACACCAACAACCCAATGCGTTGACAAGAAATAACTGTGAGAAAATAG